AATATCTATTTTTGAGAACATGTGTGATTATCTTCTTGGGATAAATTTCTAAAGGAGAAATTTCTGTGTCAAAATGGAGACATATTGAATATATTGTGACATTTTGCAAAAGTGACCTTTAAGATTTCTACATGAGTTTTCAATCCCATCAGTCTTTTTGACAGTCTGTTCTCCCTCAGTTCCTGTCAATCCTCCCCTCATTCACTTTCATCTTTGCCAAGATGATACATTTTAATTCATTCGTGTTTCTTATTCCACATTTTCATTTTTGTTTACATTTATTTATTACTAATATATGTGTTTAACATTTGCATTTCTTCTTTTCCAAATCATTCTCTTATATTCTTTTTTGGGGGATGGGGTGTGGTTATTTTAAAATATTGAATTCTAAATGGACAAAGCAGCCTCTGCCCACAGGAACTGGTCTGACACTTACACGGGCCTCAGTGTTGTCAGAAGCGGGGCTGATGCTCCCTACTCGGTCGTGTTATTTCGCTGTGGAGATCAGTCATCTCACAGAACATGGACTTCAGACAGGGACACCTGAGACCATGACACAGTGAGACAAGATAAGAGCAGAACATGATTCTAAGCACAGACCACATGAGGCGGCTCTGTGTCCCTCACTGTGCACCAAACCTCTCCCTGTGCTCCTACAGCGACCACTGCTTCTGCCCTGTTACAGCTGTATCCTCTCACCCTATGGGTGAGATTCAATCAGATGCCCAGTCAAAAGAATTTTCATACCATTACTAAGATATTATTTGTCTTCTCACTATGTTGACATCTACTTTGAGTTACATTTTAGAAATAATGGAGATTATGGAAGCAAACTGCAATACTAATTATTTTCACAACTTACTTCCAGGAAAAAAAAAACAAGTTTGCTCTAAAACATCCTGGTTGAAGCATTAAAATTGTTATTATTCCTAAATCATAATGCTTAAAACACTTTTTAAAAATATCTTCTATGATGACATGAGACGTACACATCAACCACTTCTGCTACATTTCAAAGTACTGTGTCCCATCTGAAGTAATTTGTGTGAAGTGAAATACCCTCTTTTTTATGGAATCCTACTTGTACTTGAAAGACTGAATGATACTGGAAGATCTATATAATTTTGTGAAACAATGTATTACTTTTTAAAATCTTCCATTAGTACAAGAGATATTCAGTGTGTAAAAAAGGCTTGTGGATTTTAATGTAACAGATAGGAAATATTCACTGATACTGTTTCAGGTCCACTTTGCAAATAACTTTTGACAAACTACCACGTGTGTAGTTTTAGTTTAGTATCAAAGAGGACCATCCACAATGATCTGAAAAGGTTATTAAAAATGCTACTCCTATGTATGTGTGAGACTTCAATCAAAATAACAGAATAAACACAGCAGCAAACATGAAAATCCAGTGGTCTTCTAATGAGACAGACTAGAAATAGACTTGCAAAAATGTAAAAAGCACCACTATTCTCTCTCCGGTGATTATTTTGGGAAATTATGTTTATATTAAATGCATGGGTTATTAATATTACTCTCAATAAATTAAATTAAAATTTTGAATATTATTCCTACATGCAAAATATCGATAGATGTAGCCACATGCACAAAATCAACCTTGGGGTCCACAGTCATTTGTAAGATTGTATAAGTACTATGACCAAATGTTTTGAAAACCGCAAACTGACACAGCCCTGGGCCAGGACCCAGGGAGACAGTGTGACAAGGAGCTCTCCGGGCAGGAGGGGAGGGATCAGGGCAAAGTCCCAGGTCCCCGGGAGGGCGTGGCTCTTGGGGTCTCGCCGAGGGCGGGATCTGAGGTGGGGACGCTCGGTGCTGGGGGTTCCCCATCTCCCCTGGCCTTCCTGCCTGGACACTCGTGACGGAACCCAGTTCTCACTCCCATTGGCGCCTGGTTTCTAGAGAAGCCAATCAGCGTCACCGTGGTTCCCGGTTAATAATGTCTGCACAGACCCGCCTCCAGTCAGCTTCTCTGACTCTAAGTAGGTGGGTCATGACTCCCGGAACCCTCCTCCTGCTGCTCTCGGGGGCCCTGGCCCTGACCGAGACACGGGCGGGTGAGTGCGGGGTCGGAGGGAAAGGCCTCTGCGGGGGAGAAGCGAGGGGCACGCCCGGGGACAGGAGGGCAGGACCCCCGGGGAAGGTGAGACGTCTCTGCCTTCCTCCCAGACCCATCACCGCATCTGGATCCCGTCTCCTCTCTTTCCTGCTTCCCGCCGCCTCTTCTCTCCCACGGGATCCCGACCCTTCTCCTACCC